GATTTAAGGTGTTGAGAAAAAGATTAAAAAATGTTGAGAACAAGATTAAAAAAGTGTTGAGAACAAGATTTAAGGTGTTGAGAATAAGATTAAAAGTGTTGAGAATAAGATTTAAGGTGTTGAGAATAAAAGTTAAAAAGTTTTGAGTTAGAGATTAAAAAGTGTTGAGAACAAGATTAAAAGTTATTGAGAACAAGATTAAAATAAATTGCTGAGAAAAAGATTAAAAAGTGTTGAGAATAAGATTAAAAGGTGTTGAGTTAGGATTAAAAGTGTTGAGTTTGAGATTAAAAATGTTGAGAATAAGATTATAAGGTGTTGAGAATAAGATTAAAAAGTATTGAGGTAGAGATTAAAAAATGTTGAGAAAAAGATAAAAAGTGTTGAGAATAATATTAAAAGTTATTAAGAACAAGATTAAAAAGTATTGAGAACAAGATTAAAAGTTGTTAAGAACAATATTAAAAAGTGTTGAAAATAAAATTAAAGGTATTGAGAACAAGATTAAAAAGTTGTTGAGAACAAGATTAAAATTGTTGAAAATAAAATTAAAGGTTTTGAGCTAGAGATTAAAAATTGTTCAAAACAAGATTAAAAAGTGTTGAGAGCTAAATTAAAAGTATTAAGAATAAGATTTAAGGTGTTGAGAATAAGATTAAAAGGTGTTGAGAATAAGATAAAAATGTGTTGAGTGAGAGATTAAAAAGTGTTGAAAAACAAGATTAAAAAGTATTGAGAATAAGATTAAAAGGTGTTGAGTTAGAGATTAAAAAGTGTTGAGAATAAGATCAAAGGTGTTGAGAATAAGATTAAATTAAAGGTGTTGATAAAAAGATTAAAAAATGTGAAAAACAAGATTAAAAAGTGTTGAGAACAAGATTTAAAGTGCTGAGAAAAAAATTAAAAAGTGTTGAGAACAAGATCAATTATGTTGAGAGTCACATTAAATTAAATGTGTTAATAAAACGATTAAAAAGTGTTTAGAAAAAAAGATTAAAGGTGTTGAGAAAAAAAAATTAAAAAATGTTGAGAATAAGATCAAATGTGTTGAATAAAAAGACTAAAAAGTGTTACGAACAAGATTAAAAAGTGTTAAGTTAAAGATTAAAAAGTATTAAGTTAAAGATTAAAAGTGTTGAGAATAAGATTTAAGGTGTTGAGAATAAGATTATAAGTTGTTGAGAATAAAATTAAAAGGTGTTGAGATAGAGATTAAAAAGTGTTGATAACAAAATTAAAAGGTATTGAATAAGATTAAAAGGTGTTGAGTTAGAGATTAAAAAGTGTTGAGAAAAAAGATTTAAGGTGTTGAGAACAAGATTAAAAGGTATTGAGAATAATATTAAATGGTGTTGAGCTAGAGATAAAAAAAAGTGTTGAGAATAAGATTAAAAGGTGTTGAGAATAAGATTAAAAGTGTTTAGTTATAGATTAAAAAGTGTTGAGAAAAAGATTAAAAAGTGTTGAGAATAAGATGAAAGGTGTTGAGAATAAAATTAAATTAAAGGTGTTGATAAAAAAATTAAAAAGTGTGAAGAATAAGATTAAAAAGTATTGAGAACAAGATTTAAAGTATTGAGAAAAAGATTAAAAATTGTTGAGAATAAGATCAAATTTTTGAGAATAATATTAAATTAGAAGTGTTGATAAAACAATTAAAAAATGTTGAGAACAAGATTAAATGTGTGAGAGAAAAAAAGATTAAAGGTGTTGAGAAAAAAAATTAAAAAATGTTGAGAACAATATTAAAGGTGTTGAAAAAAAAGATTAAAAAGTGTTGAGAACAAGATTAAAATGTGTGAGAATAAGATTAAAAGTTGTTGAGCTAGAGATAAAAAATGTTGAGCTAGAGATTAAAAGTATTGATAATAAGATTTAAGGTGTTGAGAAGAAGATTAAAAGGTGTTGAGTTAGAGATTAAAAAGTATTGATAACAAGATTAAAAGCTATATTAGACAACTAATTGTATGTATATGGCTTTATGAATTTTAAATTTCTCAAATATTTTAAGACTTGCCAAAACTGTCTTGATTACTCTTTACAATGGGCAGAGATTCCATCAAAAGTAACACATTCAAATGAACTAAAAACTGAAAATTCATCACATTGAAATTTTGCAACCATTAACAGTAATGAGTGCAATACTAAGAAAATGAGGAGAACAGCAGCAGGTCATCCCATAGAAGTCCAAGCACAGATCTTAATTCCAAAACATCCAATCAATGAAGAATGATCTCAAAAACCTGCAAATCAATACAAAAAATTAAATAAATTTTCTTAACATAAATCAGAAATACAGATTAAAAAAAAAATACTTAGAGTAAAAATAGTTATGAAGCAAAAATCTTTTATCGTTTTAGAGCTTATCCCAAAGGTGAAGCTGCGGGTAAACAGATATTATATTTTTAGTATCCCTAGAATTAGAAATACAAATATCGGTAGCAACAAGTAATCTAGTCCCATTTCAACAATTTCAATATATGGGACACTTGCTGAAGCAATGGGACAGAATTGGTTGTTAGCATTCTGTGCCTAAGATGAAAAAAATAAAGTAAAAATTATGACAGAGAATTCTTTATAAAAATGGCGAGAGAGCATTTTTAGAGAGCATTTTTATTTCACTTACCCACACTGTACCATCTACTTCATCTACAAAATTATGGGGGGGGTGAGCAAAGGCCTGGCAAATACAAAAACAACGTCATATATGTCTTCTCAACTAGAACTTAAAGAGTTTAGATCAAAGGGCTGCATTTAAAAAAAACACAATAAATAAAAATAAAATATGTATTACCATCAATAAATAGCCAATTATGATTATAATAAGATAACAAAGAGTCTTAGAGAATGCATGAAACCTCTTGTTTACATGTCTATTTGTTTGTGTGTCTATTTATTGTTTACAAAAACACGCATATATGAAGAAATCTCAGACTTTCATTACACTATCCTAAGCATAATACAACAAAGGGGTTTATGGCCTCCTTCACCTAATGGACTATCCATTTGAAAATTGGAGAAAAAAAAAAAAAAAAAGCACAAATGATAAGAACTATCTTACCTTTAAAGTTCAAATCATGACATTCAAATCCTAAAACCATTAGGATACCAAAACTTTGTTTCAATTCAAAGCTCTTTCAGATCATAATTAATAACACAATCAAAAAATTCAATTGTGTTCTTAAATGATACGATACAATTACAATTTTTAAATGCTAGCTAAAAATTTAAATAACTTGCCTTGATTATATTGTTAGTCATAATCAAACATTGAATTCTTTTCAGCTACAGAACCCCACTTCATCAACTACCTTTTGTTAAAGGTGTTCAATTTGCCTAAGTCTATTCTAGGGGGTGTAAGTAAATGGATCTAAGAAGAACCCATATTTTGGTTTCCTATCCTTCTCCTCTGCCTTCTCGACAACCAAAAAGAGGTTTATACGGAAGAACCGAGTTTTCTTTCCGAAATAGCATGAAAATTTAAAAAGGAAAAATCAGCATACAAAATTTATATGTTGAATTTTTTATTTTAAATGATTTGCCTTTTCCAGTATTTGAATTTGACGGGAATAATCGAACCATTTAGAAATTTATGAAACTTCATTTTTGGTGAAGGTACGAGTTTTTTTTTTAAGTTATGTGTTGCGTTCTTTAATAATTTAGACTAATCTATAACTGAATACTTTTACTACGTTTGTTTGTCGAGAAAATGGAGGGGAAAAGGAATTAAAAATTTCATTATGATGTCGATTAGTAACCAGTATTTGAATAACTTCACTCAATTCAAGCCAGAAGTGTGAATTAAGATATGTTAATTCTGGAAGGTATTAAACAATGAAATTTCAATTGATTCAGATTTTGATTTTGTTTTCTCTTCCCACGTTTTACCTGCAATCAAACTGAAAGTTAATTCTAATTTTAGTTTTGTTTAATCTCTAGTTCTTTGATATTAGGACAAATCTTTGCAAGTACAAGTGCTAATTGTTAATTACCTAATTTCTCTAATTATCATTATACTCAAGTTGCATGAGTTTTTTCACTGCAATTGCATGAAACATAACGATGATAAACGTATGACAACTAAATATATATATATATATATATATATATAAATAAATGAGAATCTAAATGGAGTCGTCATGATTTGTGAATGATCGTTGGTCATATATATAATATAAAGTTGTCTTACTTAAATATAAATTATTCACATTCCACATATTAATTTACTTTATGGATTATCAATTATCTATATTTGCTTTATTTTCAGAATGAATATTAGACATTGTAAATTGATATATGGGAGGAAATTAAATTTAGATTAGAATAACCCAAAATTTGGTTTCTTATCCTTCTCCTCTACAACAAAAAAGAGTTTATACGAAAGAACCGAGTTTTTCTTTTCAAAATAGCCTGAAAATTAAAAAGGAAAAATCAGCATACAAAATTTATATGTTAAATTTTTTATTCTAAATGATTTGCCTTTTCCAGTATAATGATATACTATGCATAAATAAGTGTGATTTTTAGGGAGGGAGAGTTAGGGTTTATGAAGAGGGAAAGAGAGAAAGAAAAGGTGAGTATCTGAAAATACAGCCGCAAGACAGGGACGAAGTGATGCCTGAAAAGTACCCAATATGCTATTTTGAGATACACCGTGATGAGAGAGGGAGATGGCGTACGGTGACGAGGAAGGAGGCTCTGAAGTTTGTTTTCCTTCTTTTTTTGTTTTATTTGTTTTTTTGGTAAGGATGCAACAGAAAGGATATCTTCTTTTCTTTTTTACTTACTATTTTTTTTTTTTTTAATGTCGTTCCTTTTTCTGTTGAACTCTATAGTTACCAATTTAAAAACAATTTCTTTTTTCACTACAACATGGATGCAACACGACTCGTTTACAACAGAGGATCCCAGTAGTGACACCATCAAGTCCTACAAAATACTTTCTAAATATTGAACATAACAGCCAAAATTCAAGAAGTGTTCAACAAGCAAACTCAATATTTCAACTAAAAAAACTACCAAAGTTGTAGCTTTGTTCATTTGAGATAATAAACCAACATTCATTCAACTACAAGATTCTAAAAGTCAGAATAAGGGGAAATGAGTTCATATTTCCCATTACAAATGTCAATTCTCAACTAGCAGCCTCTCCTGAACTTGAAAAAAAAAAAAAAAAAAAAACCGCCTAATCTTCTTCATCTTCATCCTCATCAAATTCAGAATCATTAGTAGCCTGATCACTCTCAGAATCAGACACAACATACTTTGTTTTCCCACGATTCACCCTCTGTGGTCTAGCCCTCGGAGCCACAACTTCACTCACCTCTTCAGTAGTAGAAGAAGAGCCCACCTTTTCTTCACTTCCAGCTGAATCCTTCTCCTCATCTTCCTTACCGACCCTTCCCAACACAGAACCACTCTTCTTGTTAAATGGAGATGCCCTCATCTTCCTCACTTTCTTTTCGGGCGAAATCCCTGAATTTTCGGCAGGCTTCAAAACTTCTGTTATCAGCCTCTGGCCCAGAGACTGCTGCTTATTAGCAGGCAATCTCTTCTTTGTTGGTGCTGGGGGTTTGGCTGCCACGGCCTCTGTTGTCGCTTTTCTCCCTCCCTTCTTTTTCTCTTTCGGGGCTGCTGCTACCACTTCTGGCTCAAAGTCATCGTCATCACTAATGTCATTCTCATCCTCATCATCAGAAATTTCCGTAACAGTTGACATGGACTTCTTCTGTGCAGCTGCCCTCCTGCTGGGTTCTTTCTTCCTAGCTTGTACTTGAGGCACTTCAGTTTCCATGACTGCAGACAAAAGGAAACAAATTTAAGCATGCAAATATCTGTATTGTTCATCATGCAAGGAAATCTACCAATTTTTATTAAATCTTTTTAATCCTGAATTATATTCATACTCGTACACTTTCAAGAGTAGGTTTCAAGGATTACTCGATGTTTATATGTTATGTACTGCATTCAAAATCAATTCTTCAAAATCAATTCTATTCTATGAAGTAACAAATTATTTCCTGAATTCTAAATTACCAACATTGGAAAAACAATACTGCTTTTAGAAAGACATTTAAACAATGAATCAACAGAATGAATTTACCTTCTGAAGGATCAGGAGAAGAATCAAGATTGTAAGCAGCAAGTCGATCTTTTAGCTCAAGAACTTCATCATCTGTATCTTCATCTTTCAAAATCGAGGCCTTTTCCTGCAAAGTAAGAATAGAAGTTTATAGAATCCACTTACAACAAGATAATTCATTGTGGGAAGTTATGATGTAATCTAATGATACAGACCTTCTTAGAAGGAGCTTTCTTTGAAGCGGCTCTGCCTTTAGGTTTTAACACCCCAGGAACATTATCTGATGAGAAAGAGGAAGAGACCATCCATGTTAGAAAGTTAACAACACAGGCGAAATATCATATACAATAAAACAAATAAAGTTTCCTAACCTACCTGTTTCCATTGCAGAAGTAGATGATGTTTCCATTGTTTCAGCAACAGGTTCTTCGCTGCTGGCCTTCTTCTTAGTATTCTTCCTTGGGTTTTTTGGTGCTTGTTTCAAGACCTTAAGACCAGCTTCACTCATCACCTTGTTTTTCATCTTTATTCTAGCCTCCTCTGCTTGGGCATCATCCTTTCCTTGTTTCTGAATTGTGCACAAAAATCAGACAAGAAGCAAAAAAAATAGTGACAGAACATTACTTAAGTCATGAGATTTCAGGTCATACATCAAGTTGTATCTCAAGATTTTCAAGATCTTTTATCCACAGAGACTTTGGAGTTGCCTTCCTCAAATCATCAACCTCTTTGTTAAGCTTGTCCCTTTCAGCACTTATCTTTAGAACCTTCTCATACGTTAAGGTTACAATTTGCATTGATAGTAGGTACTCATAATCCGAAGCCTGTACTTCTGAGTTTTCGTCAATTTCTTCTGCATCCTCAGTTGCACCTGCAACTGCTGGTTCCACAGACTTCTTGCTTTTATTTGGGAAAGGGGTAAAACCTTTCTCCCTTAACTCAAGAAACAATTCAGCATTCTTTCGATTTCTCACAATTATCTCTTCATTCACAACCCCAAGTATGAACCTAACCTTGTTTTCCAGTTTCAACAAGTCCATTTCAAGATTGTCCAGCATAACTTTCTGCAGAAAATTATTTTATAGTAAGCAACCAAATCTACAAGTATTGAAATAATACAAACAACTGAAATTTAATTTTCTACTTGACCAATTTACCTTTCTTAATTCATAGAATTCAAGTCTTAGGTGAAAGAATTCCTCAATAACTGCGTAAGAAAAGAAAAAATCTTGTAAATAAAGAAAATTTGTAACATACAGATAGAATCTATGGTTGACAACAATGATCAAAGTCGTACTCTCTTCAGGGGTATCATATTTTTTAATCACGCCTTTTGGATCGAATAGGTGCATGTTACTTGTGCTGATTGTTGTAGTAAGCTTAAATTTCTTCAACAAGCCCTCTTCCTTGGCAATGTTCAAGTTCTCCTCAGAAAGGATGACTTCAAAATGTACAGTTGTATCATCATTGTGCTCTTTGTAATCCTGCAACCGGCAAAATCTGCTATGAGAATTCCAAACTCTCAAGTAAACATAATTTTGTTTAATGTAACATTATAAATGGCAATTATATTTTACCTTGATGAAAGGGTCCTTAACTTTATCATTTCCTGTCATAATAGATTCCAAAAATTCTTTGTAATCTTGGGTCCATCTTCTGACTGGCAACTCTGTAATCCTGAGTGTAGTTTCATTGACCTCCTCTATAATTCCACTCAAAGTATAGCTAACACCAGCTTCCTTCGTTGCAGTTTTCTCAATGCTCCCTCTGAACCCTTTGTACCATGGATGCATAGGTTCCATTGGCTCACCATTCAATAAATGCCTCACATTCACAATAATATCCCTCGGATTATAATTTGGGACGTAGGAGCTCCATCCAGTTCCAATTCCTTCACTTCCATTTACCAGAACCATCGGTACAATTGGCATGTACCTAAATCACGAACCAAATTAGCTAATTATCTGTAGTAGATTCACAACAGTACTAGTCCTTTGGAAATAAATAAATAAAAAATAAACTCACCAAGTAGGTTCGATGGATTGTCCATCCTCATTTTGGTAGTCCAAGAGGATATCATCCTCCTTGGGGAACAGGTAACGTGTGATGGGAGAAAGTTGAGTGTATATATACCTAGCACTTGCATGGTCTTTGCCTCCCTGTTAAAGAACAAGCTATACATTTAATACTAGACATACATTAAAGCAAACAAAGTTGCAACTTCAATTCAATTTGAAAGAAGTGAAGCTTCGATTTGCCTCACCTGGTTACGAGTGCCAAATTGGCCATTTGGTTGAAGAATGTTTAAATTGTTGCTGCCCACAAAATCCTGCGCCATGCCAATAATGGTACCAGCAAGACTCTGCTCACCATGATGATAAGCCGAATGCTCAGATACATAACCGGAGAATTGGGCAACTTTTATTTCCTTGACTAAATTCCGCTTGAAAGAACTAAAAAGGATCTTTCTTTGACCTGGTTTCAGGCCATCAACCATCGAAGGAATTGACCTTTGAAGATCCGCCATGGAAAACAGTATAAGCTCCTTGTTGACAAAGTCACTATACTTTATAAGTTTCTCCTGCTGATCAAGGTAAGTACCAGGCTGCAAAAACACCAAGATTGAGAAAGCATTATTAGAAAAAGATATTGTAAAATTGGGGCCCTTCTGAATTCTCAATTGATGCATGACTTCCAACCTCAAACTGTCGGAGCCAATTCTTTCTTGCTTCAATCTTCTTCTTGCTGAAGGCAAGCTCAATTGCATCTCCGTCTTTCTCATCAACCCAGATAAAGTCTTTCCTATGCTTTTCAAGAGCAGTGAAGTATTGCTGACCTTCCTTCGATGTGCTTGTTCCCAACCCCTGCCATGACAGCAGATGATTTAGATAATAAATATAAAAACTTCATAATCTGACAGCACTTAATACGAATATTAAGAATTCTAATTGGTTCCTCGTATAGAATATGAAAATGCAAACCTTATAGTACTTAATAGTCCAGCCACGTGCATTGTCCCCCAAACTTTCTTTCCATGATTCATACTCAGGCATAGTATAAAACGGTAATTCTGTCTTAGTTCTATTGTGCGTAGCCTGTACAACAATATAAAATGAAAACTATGAGCTGTCTATCAATAAAACTTCCACAGATGAAAAGTGTGGACAAGTACATTGAACATTACAGACCTTCACTATAGGTGTAATGAACTCTACTAGAAAAGACGGAATTTTTAGCAACGATGGCCAAAATGAATGAATGAAATTAATCAAAAGGCCTTTGATATGGGAGCCATCATGATCCTGTACAAGCATAAAATAGAGCTTAGGTTAGCCAATACATCAGCAAACATAAATCTATCTGCAGTCAATAAGTAGGAGAAATCAAGCATAAGACATAAGGAGAAGTGTGAAGCACCAAACCTGATCAGTCATTATCATCAAATGACCATATCTCAATGACTTTATGCTGTCATAATCTTTCCCATGCTGGAGTCCGAGAATCCTCTTGATATTTTGAATTTCAGCATTTTCCAAAATCTGTTTAGTGCTTGCTTCCCTCACGTTGAGCAATTTACCTCTCAACGGGAACACACCATAGTAGTTTCGACCAACAACAGAAATCCCAGCCATCTGGTTTAACTCAAATCTGTTAAAAGCTCCAAAACACAACATAAACTTGACTAAAAACCAGTTAAAAGCAAGAAAACTTACTGCAAGAGCCTTCGCCGAGTCTCCTTCTGTCAAAATCAATGTACATTTATCAGAATTCTTCCCTCCAGCATCATTAGCATCGTCTAGCTTAGTAATCCCGGTAATCCTCTGTCTTTTTGTCCCATCTGTCTTCTTAAGATCTTTGCTCTGCTTAAAATCTGCCCATGACAAGAGACTTTCCACTACTCCAGACTTGGCCACTGTGACAGTGTAAACCAACAAAGGCATCAGATTGAAGCCCGTACAAGGAAGCCCGTACAAGGATTCAATGGATAGATTTTCCATGAACAATTGAGACAATGGTACAAACCTTTCTTCAAGAGCTCTTGTGAGAGTTCACATTTAGACCCAAAACTGCTTTGACGAATCGTCAAAGTCTCTTTGGTCTGTGAATCAAAAGCAGGGTTGTCAATAAGTGCATTGACAAAAACCCACAAATGGTTCCTCACTGCATGGGCTTTGAGGTTGGCATTCTTGTTCTTCTTATTTACAATATTCATTATGTAACTTGTTATCTGGTTAGTCACGTAATCAACATGAGTTCCACCCTTAATTGTCGCGATCGAATTTACAAAGCTGACCTGGTAAAAGTCACAAATTCATCCAAACAAAACATATAAGTTTCATGATTAAGTTGTAGTTTCTGATGCTGACTACCACAAAATATTTAAATTAAAATAATTTTTCAGATACCTGTTGAAATTGCCCTTCACTAAGGCTCACACATATCTCCCACCTCTCATTGACCTTTTCTGAAATCCTGATAAAAGAAATAAATTAGACTTTCCACTACTCCAGACTTGTTTATTGAAAGTTTAAAATAAATACCTTGGGAGAGGATCAGGTCTGGCTTTGGAGGCAGATTGAAGGTAGAGATTGCAATAGTCAAGGAAAGACTTTACAGGAACCCGTTGACCATTAAGTTCAACCTTCACTGTCTTTCCAAGGCATCCGGCTAAGTCTACCACACGCTTCTTCATCAGGGCGACAACATCATCTTCAAGATGAGTCATATTGAATTTTGCCAAGTCGGGCTTAAATGTAACCTTGGTCCAGTTTTCACCCTCCTTGCACTTTGTTATAACAGGCTCAGATTTCTTCCCCATGTTGTTGGAGAAAACCTTTACACAAACATTACCAATTTATACAATTAGCAATACACATAAATCATGATCAGACTGAACATTTGTAGAGGAATCAACTATACAGTTATAGGCACATGAACAAATTTTGGAAAGAAACCCAAATGTCCTGCTGTTGGGATTTTCAACATGGGAGAACCAAAAACTCCACCCAAATTTTCCTAATACTACTTGGATCAGTAAATCTTTCCATGATTTAAAAACAGAACAGCAGAATTTCAAAAATTCATTTTCTGTGCATTTCCTGTGTTTTCTCAGTAGCCAAACATAGGGTAAGTAACAAACCAAAAGGATAATTCATGATTGCACAGAAATAAAGAAAATAAAAATTATGATACAGTAAGTATAAGGAACAGATCCACAACAGAACCCTGGAACATAAAATCTACAAGTAAGAACATAGATGCAAACAATGACTCTGAATCGTGGAAAACATTAAAAAGTAAATAAATACATAAAATCCAAGCAGCAAAAATTATGCAATCAACAACAGAATCACTCTTAACTCTTAAGCAAATGCAATTACTCCTGAAAAGGTAAATGCAAGTACTATGAACACTACCACTAAGAAAAAATAAACACTATACAAACAAAAATAAACACTAACATTAAGAATCTCTCAGAACATCAGATAATCCCTAAATCAATGAAAATGTCTGTAGTAAGCAGGCTGAAAAAACACAAGAAACCCCAAAAAGGAATAAGAAATCATAAACAAGAATGAAACGTCTATAACAAGCAGGCAAAAAAACAAACCACAATAAATCCTAATCGAGAACAAAGAATCATAAACAAGATTTCAAGAATCAGAATTCATAAATAAAACCTGAAATCTACACAAGAATGAAACCCTTTCATTAAGGATCTCTCAGAACATCAGATAAACCATAATCAATGAAATCTCTATAATAATCAGACATAAAAACCACAAGAAACCCTAATCAATAATTAAAAACTATAAACAAGAATGAAATGTCTATAATAAGCAGGTAAAAAAACCACAAGAAACCCTAATCAAGAAAAAAGAAAAATCATAATCAGAATTCATAAATAAAACCTGAAATCTACACATTCACAAAAGCCTCTTATAAAAACCGAAAAAGATCAAGGGCCAGGGTCAAAATTGAAGAACCCCTAAAAACAGATCAAGAATCAGATGTCAAAATCACAAATCCCCTAGAACTCAATACCTGCTTGTACTTCTTCTGGCGCTTCCCATCGGCAGTCTCGATCACAAACTCACTGGAGAAGATGTTTGTAAGCTTCGCACCGTAACCATTCCTCCCACCGGTCGTCTTCTTTGTCGTATCGTCGTAGTTACTGCTGGTCAAGAGATGCCCAAAGATCATTTCGGGCACATAAACGCCCTCCTCCTGATGAATCTCCACCGGGACTCCATCACCACTGTTGTACACACTGATACTGTTCTGTTCAGCGTCGATCACGACCTTCAAGGAGTCCATCGACGGGTCTCTCTGCTTGTTATCGGCGGCATTGACGAGGATTTCGTCGAAGATCTTGTACAGGCCGGGAACGTAGGAGACAGATCGCTGGACCATTTCGTTGTTCTCGTAGATCCAGAGGGTCTGGGTGTGCTTCTCGACGGAGCCAACATAGGTGTCGGGCCGGAGGAGGATGTGCTCGAGCTGGGTTTTCTTCTGGTAAGTTTCTTCGATGGTTTTCGAGGCTGGGACATTGGCGTTGTTGCTGGATTGTAAGGGGAGTTTCTTTGGAGGCATGGTGGGTGGGTTAGAGAGAGAGAAATGGGAGGAGACACAGAGATGGTGTCTTTGAGATGGGTTAGAGAGAGAGAGAGCGGAGTGAAATGGAGAGAATTTGAGGGTTGAAAGGGGGGTTAAAAGAATGGGAATGGTACAGACTAACGTTCGACTGGAATTCGAATTTTGAATTTGAATTGGGCGGGACTTTGGAAGCGTTTCAGAAATCGGACGGTGAGAGATTGTTTTGGGTCACCACGTGGGTGGTGGAGAACATCACATGTTCCGATGAGTTTTTATTTGAAAGTTTCATTTGAATGTAAATCTGAGTAACATTACTTCTACATTTATTTCCGTTTTTAAACCCTAGAATTTCATGAGATAACAGAGCAATTTTACAATTTTCTCGGTGTTCATTAGTGGAAACTAATAAGCTTATGTTGCTAATTTTCTAGAGAGCTTTAGGACTCACTTTATTTGATAATGGATGTCTTGTCCACTATAATTCTAATTTTTTTTTTTAAGTGTAATATTTATTAATATTCCATTTTTATGTTTTGATTCATTTTATTGAATCAAAACCAAAAGCACATTTGGGAGTTTATTAGGGATTTTTTTGATAATCGTTTTTGTTACGATTTTAGTGTTGCAAATCCAAATAGGACACACCAATTTTTAATGTTATCACACCGTACTTAGACCCCGTAGGGTTGAACAATACTAAAGAAATTTTTTTTTTTTATTTTTTTTTTTTTAAGTATAGCCGTTTTGTTACTCGATAATGTAATACTACTATTTTTTTATCAATCATATTTCATGTTTTTGCTTTCAAAATTTTTGTAACAAATTTTACTTTAATAAACATATTTTCAATCATAAATGAACACACTCCACAATGAAATTTTGATTTTGTTTTGGATGAAAACAAATAAGCAAAATAAAAATGGTTGTCAAACCAGTCTATACTATCCAAACAAGATAGTATTTTTATAATCTTGAAATTGCCCTCAACAATTAAAAAGAAAAAATTATTATTCCACTCATATCCAAACAAGATTACTATCATTTTTTTTTCTTTTTTCTTCTATCTATCCAAACATAATTAGAAATTATTCTTTATCATTTCTTTTTTTTTTCTCTCGTAATTAATAATTTTTTTTTTTTTCTTTTCTGTATCCAAACAAAGCGTAACTGAAATTTCCAAAGTTCTCTTACTAAAATACCCATTTTAATGTTGATTTTTGAAAAGAAAAATGACATTAAACAGGCCAACTTAATTGGTAGACTAATGTGAAAAGTTTACATTTGTTCAAGTGTGGGCTTCTTTTATTTTTTTCCTGTGTATTGTTATCAAGGAAATTATCAGATGATGTGACACTTTTTTAACGCTAAGATGAAGTTGCTTTGGTGGTGGGCGTTGAGAGATAGATTGCTGCTGGTGAAACAATAGGGTTACATAGATGTTGACATTGCCAGCGATTGCCAATCTTTGGTGGCGAGAGATGGATTGTTGTTGAACCAGCCTCAGTGGGTTTTTATCTACAATTTTATTTTGTCCAAGACGGAGCTCACAACACTTTTAGTCTCTTGGTCGGCAACTCCGGTCATCCGATCGACCTTCTACTTTACAAGACTTGTTTCGTCTCTTGGTCCGCAATTTCGCGCAAGCCAATCAACCATTGTGAAAGGTAAGAAAGTACTACTAGATTACAACAACATTTACACACAAATAAATTACTTGACACGTTCTCCTGGCTACTTGTAAACCAAAATTGACGCGAATCCATATAATGTACCTGTAAGTCAATTTCAGTACTGTAAACTACATTCAGGATCACATCTGGCAGGCTTTACAATCTCACTGGCTAAGACGTCTAGTTTGAATGATTTATCAACCAGAAATCGGTTGAACACATGTACTGAACCAAACATGTTTAAAGTTTTTGGACCATTTCTGAGGTGCACCATTGCAACTGTAAAACTTATCAAGTCTTTTCATCTGAAAGTGACACTGATTAAATTTGAAACACACGACCATTTCCAAATAATGCGAAGAATTATTCAGAACATTACCCAAGCCATGAACACACACACACAAACTCCATGAGTGTGCAACACAACTTTTTTCTCAACTGAATAACAGGTAGATCTAGCCAAAATTTATAATTTATCAAAAATGAGATGAGCAAATGATCAGTGGCAACATAAAATCTCAACTAAATCTCCAAGAGCAACTGTCATAAGCAAAATATAGCTCATTTGTCTTGAAATAACAACAAAATTCAAAAGAAGACGTGATAATAATAGCTTCCTCCACCCAAAATGACGCTGCACTAATGGGCTAGTGGCCTAGCGGTATCGGCCTCTTACTTTCCAAAGGGAGGTCAGGGGTTCAAGTTTCGGAAAAGACGTGTGTGTGAGTACTAACTAGGGTTTAAAAAAATGTCACTGCACCCAACCAAGCGATGACTCTGTGCGCGTGCATGTGTGTTGTTTGTGAAAGCCTTTTGGCGGGCGAAACAAAACCATGTAAAATCACTGTTGACACCAACCTCTTCACAGCATACAAAACTCAGGCTGTCGGTTTTTGAGGACGACTTGCAATTTCGCTCTAATAGCATATAGAAGTTTTGTTCAAAACTTGTAATTTCTTCATTGAGATTAATCAATATCCCAGAAACACGACAATACATCAAAAGACGTCAATATAGGTTAAACACCAAATGATAAACTGATTCTCCAAATACAACCCATCTTTTTCTTCTACTGCATAAAAACCAATTACAAAAAAAAAAAAAAGAAAAAAAAAAAAAAAACTAATCATTCAATCAAAAAACTAAAATTGACTGCAGAAAAGAAGAGTACAGGAACCATTCCAATCAAGCAGAGACATTAATTTGACCAATAGGAAATCACGAGATGTTTTAGCCATGTAAACGTTACCAAACATTATGGTACAGCCATCAACTACAAAACCAACACTCCTAAACGCTGCAGTGGGGCAATTGTGTGGAAACACTTGAGGGAGAAACACAAACTTTGGAATTAATATCAAGAAAGCAGAGGCTTCTAAGAAAATGCAGGCTTTGTTCACACTAAAATTTAGGGTGTGTTTGGATTGAGGGTAGGTGTTGGAATAGAAAAGAAAGGAAAGGAAAAGGAAGGAAAAGTTCTATCATATCTGTTTCAACAATGAGGAGGGAAATGATATGAAGGAATGGTTCTTGATGCCTCAGATAGTAATTTCGTAATCCTTCCAAAAGTAGGAGGACAAGGAGGGAGTAGACAAGAAAGTAAATGATTACTGATTTTGTCCTATTTCTTAAAAAAAGTGAATTTCTGCCTTGTCTCTCTTAATCAAATAATAAAACATGAAGTGGTTTAACTAAGACCATGGCCTTAGATAGAGAAGAATGGCATTGGGAAAGGCGTTGTAAAGTTGATAAAACATTGATTTCTATCACTAAGGGTTTAGCCTAGTGGTATTTCCTCCCTCACAAGGGAAGTTGAGGGTTCATGTCCCTATATAAGCTTTGGCAGAAACACAGAATTGATACTCGATTTGGCGAGTAGACGACAATCTGCTACGCTGCTGGTTGCTACTATCATAAACCAGCAAACACTCTTAATCAAGAGCAAGTAAGTTAGAACAGATCTTCTAAGCTTAAAAAGAAATAACCTATTTACTCGCCCCATTCCCCAACGAGGAGGAATAATCACTTATCTTACTGCCAAATGCCAATATACTTGAGGTTATTGAGAAGAAAAAGTTTGAGAAGCTAAAGGGAGGGCATTGAAGAAATGATGGCAGAGTCAGGTACGTAGAAGTAAGTTTGACAAAATTACTGAGCAATAAACTCTATTAAGTTTAACATCTAACTAGGAAATTTGGCATCCTCCAATATGGATACATGCATGATGCAACAATTAAAATGTCCGTGGCTAGAACCCTTAAAATAAAGCAGACTGGCTTTATTATGACCACCAAATGTCCCTTATTTAGCACCAAGGCGTGAAGGTATTTATTTCCTCTAAGTTTGCTTTATTGGATTCTATAATGCAGGACAGAACTAGGAAACTCAAAATAATGCTACCTATGGTTGACTTTGTAGCAGACATAAGCTCTGTTTGTTTTGATGTAAACATTGTTTGGTTTAAATTAAAAAAAAAGAACATTTTTTAAGAACATAAACTCCGAATAAACTTACAATTTTAAAGCAACTGTGCAATTATGTGAAGGGTAAACTGAGAAGTTGAGGATGAGATGGTAATATAATACGGATGTTACATCAAGAATAGGATAAAAAGTGAGAGAGAGAGAGAGAGAGATTTGCAATAGTGGGTGTTCTTGGCATGTGCAGATGGAGAGATATTTTGACAGTGCCTGACATGTAGGAGGAGGGGGAAGAGAAAGAGAGAATAGATATTTAGCGGGAGAAAAATTATAGTGAAATGATAGAGAGAAAAAAGAGAGACGTTAGACAGTTAGACCGAGAAAAGAATGAAAGAGAGGGGTGGCAGGGGAAACATATTGGGAGAGGAGTCGCTGTCCATCGCGAGTAAAATGACTTACTGTCATTTTTTTCCTAGGAAAAACAGAAAACATTTCACAGGAAAATATTTTAACTAAACTTTTGGCAACCAAACACCTGGAAAAAAACATTTTCCGGAAAACGTTATATGAGGAAACAAATGGAGCATTAGATAAAAGAAAGCTTGTAGGATTAAGGTTTTATTAAATAGATGAGAAGTTGTATTCTCTGTAGGTGGAAAGAAGAAGTTGGTATCCACTTGCTTTTATGTGTGACAAGTTGTTGGATTTTCAAATTTTAAATTGCTGGAAAGACTGGAAAACAGCTAAAAATGGTTTTGTGGTGCTAAAGTGGAGGCCGAATGAATAATGAAGAGTAAAAATTGATTTTGGTTCACTAAGCTAGAGTTCCAGAAATTTTTGTTGTTGTTGGAGGACTCTGGACAGTAATCCTGCACAGAAGTAACCTGCGAACAGAGTAGGAGAGAATAAGAAGAAGTCTCCATGAACAGAATAGGGGAGAAGAAGAATCTACAAATTTCACTAGCTACGGTCCTTACGGATCAACTCTTAGACTCTTAGTGTTAGGTTTACATCACAATGATACAATCTCAAAATTTAAGAATCAATTCTCGTCGTTGAATCGAATGAGTACAAAAAATTTATAGGATACTGGACTTATTCATATACAATAACATAGAGTTATACATATTGAATTAATGTGGTTTACTAGAACTGTGATTCCAAATCCAAACCAATGAATTCTAAAATTTTGATGACCAAGACCATTCTAAACATATTTTTGATTCCATGGAAAACCCATTACCATAACACAACCCAAATAAGACTGATAGAAATTATCAAAATAACCTTGATTCTTAAATTCTAAAAAGATATATATATATATATATATATATACCCAACAACGTACTTGTCTACCAATAGAAAGGTCAGGGGTTCGAGCCTCAGTAGAGGCATGTGTGTGTGAGTACCAACTAGGGAAAAAAAAAAAAAAAAAATCAACAACGTACATGCCTGAAATAGACATAAGCAGAGACTCAAATTCAAAGCAATACTTGGTTACACAGGGTCCAAAGAATGCTCTAACAACTTTTGCAAGTTGACATTTTCTTTATTGTCACACTTTGCTTCGTTCTTCCCACATAAATAAGTAATTCTGCCCCACATTGTAGAAAAGCTGACATCAAGTTTTGTAGCGCTCAAGTATGAGGGTTATAGAACATAGAACATGCATCCATGGAGGCACGAACATTTTGAGTTGATTTGACTTAAATTTATCTTGTAAATGATGATGTTACCAAGGAATCCCTCCTATTGATCTAGTCCTCGATAGCTTGTAAATTGCAGTGGCTAGATATGGTCATAGCCACTGATTATAAATTCCAGTAATTGAGATTTAATTCTTTTTCTGCCCGCATCCACTTCCTTCTTGTTGATGAAAGGGAGCTTCAATTGGAGTCTTTAGAGACTGGAAATCTTCAAACAATTGCAGCAAAGTTACACTGAAAATTTTCTCCATGGGAACTATCCTCTAATAAAGATGTTTGTTAGTCTCATAATCATTTTAGAAGGAATTAAAATTGAATGAAAACCTTATATTAGTGACCATGGTGGTAGAAGGACAAAAAGAGAAATTTAAGGTTGAAAAGGGTATCATCTTTTGCTTCAATACCAAACTGATAAGACAGTACTAGAAATTTTAAGACATAAAAAATCTTGATAACATTTCCTAGGTTGATTTTATAATGGGCTTGGATGAAGGAAAGCATGAAGATTCAGTTTTAATAGTGGAAGAAAGATTGGTAGGCTTTATAGATGGAAACATGGTAGAATTTTTAGGCTTTTCACAGTATTTGCTTACTCAAATTTCATTATTTATGGTAACATAAATTATGAACAGACGATAACTATAGAGTTTTTGGGGGCTAAATGGAAGGTCAATGGGCAGGAACAAAGTGTTGCAGTTTATTTTCCTGGTAGTTTAGAGTACTAGGAATGATTTAAGGATTGTTTTAGGACTGTGAACTGCAACTCATGAACAATGATTGACGAGCAGTAGAAGAAGAATCATTTAAAATTGTCAACAAGCATCCTTAAAACTCATCCTTAAATAAATAAGTCTTGACCAAAGAAGGTTGCCATAAATTTCAAAATTCCTTGTTCATGTTATCACCCTTTATATCACTCTAATGTAAAATTCTCAAACATTCAAAATGTAAAATGTATAAGGTGGTTTAGGCAATTTTGAAATCAGACTATCATTGACCAACGAGAACATTGTCATTTTCATGTGACATCAATTGCCTAAATCCGATAGCAACAACCCACTGATCTCCAAATGTCGGGCACACAGTTTTTGAAAATCTTATCATCTGTTAAAAGAATTAGGCAGTATTGTTATTGCTCCAAAAGATGGATACAATGGCTGAAAATGCTTCAACTTAATGTTAGAGCTTGGTCCTTACATTCTATTTGAAAAGTATAAAGCCAAACTTAAGGATATGTTAGTTTACCACAATAATCTATCTAGTACATCTCATTCTCATTCTCATTCAAGATCAAGACAAATAATTCTGGCAAATTTAGTATCAGCTATTCAGAAACAATGCATAAGATGAAACTCAACGGACAGATTTGATTGAAATATTATCTACATCATTATGAAAACGGAACTTGTACAAATGGATTATTCGTCAGTGACATTCATCATAGCATACACTATTATCGAAAGGGAAGTGAAATCGAAACTCAACTGTAAATCAATCAGTCAGTCAAGGTACTCAAACTCGTCCTCCTTGAGATGCGCGAAGAACTTGACCGAACCGCGTCCTTCGATCTCCGTAAGGAACTCGATTTTGAACGGCAGATTCGCCGAAATGCGCTTCCCCTTCCAAAGCCCAACGTACTGCTTCAACTTCCCTTCCATCCCAGTCAGCTCAATCTCCGGTACCTTCGGCACATGGTACACCTTCAAAGGCACTTTAACCCTAACCCTAGCCCCAATCTTCTCCGCCGCTGCCTTCTCCTCCTCCTCCTCTACCGACGACGACGACACCGCCGACGGATCCGCCATGACCGCCGCGGAATCGGAGGCTCTCACCGATGGCAACGTCCTCCTGATCGGCGGCGAACACCGAGCTACGCCGTGAGGTCGGAGAGAGAAGATACAGGGTTTTGGTGTAGAGAGAGAAGGAAGAGGAAGATGGTGGTGGTGGTGATTCAGCGACGAGGCAGCAGAGAAAAACGCCGGAGACGTCATCGTTTTTGTGTTATCTAATTAATTATCTCTCTCTAACTCTCTGTATTTATATATATGTATTGTTTGGGTGGTCTGAAATGAAGATTGAAGTGATTTCAAGCCACTCTGACTCACCACCTATTATGATTTGGATAATCCAATTTATACGGATGAGGGATTGTCCTGTCTCGTGCTTGACACGTGACTAACTCAATGCCATTGGTTACACAACTTCCAAGTCTCTGTCTGACTAGTGACTAGGTTTCTGTTTGATTTGCACGAAAATAAAGAAGAAGGTGAAGGAAAGTTTGAAAATTAGATGGCATCTCCTCCTCCTCATTTGTTGTTGTTTCTTTTGGCATTTGGTTAGTTGTCATGAAGAAATATCTTGCTTGTTATTAAGTTCAAACATTTTCAACTTTTTCCTCTCCCAAGTGCTGAATGTGTTGGGATTTCTCAACTCAGCAGCAAACTAATATCCTATTTGGTATACGTTTTGTTTATATTATTTTTATTTTTAAATTACTATAGTATTAATTTTGGTAACAAAAGCATGTTTAGTATGACCTTATTTTATTTTATACGGTGCTAAAATATCTCGTGACCCAAAACCAAAACACCAAAAAATATTTTTTCTTATTTTGGCAACTGTTCATGGCTCAAAATCATAATTGTGCATGTTTCTATTTCCGACAATTTAACAGCAAAATATCGTTTTCAAACGTACTTCCAATTTTTTTTTCAAAAAACTCCTACAACAAAAATACTGTTTCTCTGTTTTAGCAAAAAAACAAAACGCCTAAAACAAAGCGCATACCAAACGGGCCTAAGAAAGAATTTATACAACTCAATTTTATTTATATGTGCTCAATTTTATTTATTCGTAGAAAATTACATTGACCTTCTCTTTAGTTTTAGAGAACCATAGAAACATTTTTTGTTATTTAAAAATAATAATATATTTTATGTGAGATGTTGTTATCCAAAAATATTAACAAAAGTTAAAAATTTACAATTATACACCTTCATAGATAAAATTGACTTTTTTTATCTTTGATGTGGCAATTTTTATGTTAGTGTGACTAGTGGCACTAGCTTGAGAAAATTGAAATATTCTAACATTTGTTGACAAAATATATTTTTTTAGAAAGTATATGACTTTTGGATGCATATGACCCCTACTAATTTAATTTATGTAAGCAGCGTTGATATCATCGTGACGTCATTAAATTAAATATGATAATTATCATGCCATTTCATTCATACATAAATTTGATTGGACGTATTTAACCGTCAAACTTCCATTATTACTTTATTATTATTATTTTTTTTTATGTTAGTTGGCCAATTCACTGGACTTTATATGTTATTACAATTTGCATCTATAAGCAAGGTATTTGTGGTATTTTAAATTTAGAAAAATGATTACTCCGTATTACTCCGATCGGGAAGTTCAACGCAGCTAATGAATCATTCGTATAGGACCTTTCGAGAACATAATCTTTCGAATTGCATATCACGGCTCTAAAATAAAATAATAAATTTATGCTTGTATTTTCTTAAAATAAACAAAAAAAAAAAAGAAAAAAAGAAAAAAAAAAGGTAATTTTTGGCATTTCAAGTGTGTGACAGACAAATTGCTATCAAAACTCAACCAAAAACATACAAATAAATGCATGCAAAGACACCTGGTCTACTCATAGTTTCAATTCTGACCTATATTCATTAACTTTAGTTAAAAATATTGCACTAGATTTGAATTTAAATTGGCCAAAGCCTGGATGAAAAGGGTTTGGATATAAATTTGCAAACTTTGAGGATCAAAAGGTTTAACAAAGGTACTCTCAAAATTTTATATTTTTTTTGTTAAATTGAGATGAAAAATGTTTGGCTACAGTATTTTGAACAACTACCTCAAATGTTGTATTCAAATAAAATATTGAAGGTTTAAGTTTCACTTTATTTAGAACATAATTCTATTTAAAAAAGAAAAATAAATTAGAATAAATTTGAAATGAAATCTCATTTGTGTGTTTGGAATAGATGGAATTTAATCATAAAAGAAATATATACTCTGTATATGTTACCATTTTACATTTATTGATTGGATTTGCAAATTACAATCTTATCCTTAGGGTCAAATTTAATAAATTACAAACCGGCAAATTAACTAATTTAGCAATCCCATCAAATTCCACCACTAGGAATTGAGGATGAAGTATTTTGAGACTTTAAATTCTGTTCATTTAAATTTTCAAAATAATCGAAAATACATTTTCAATTTCAAATTTCACCGAATTTTGACATTTATTACCGTATGTAAGTTGGGTCCAAAAGTAATTAACTAAAAAAAAGACACCCATTAATTTTTACTTTCACCGCGAGACCATTGGTGTGATCTACTGAGGACTTGTATTCAACATGCAAGTTGTGATGTTAATGATTTATTTTTTAGGGTTAATTACATTCATACCCTTTGAGGTTAGATTTTCTTACACTAGATTAATATATTTGTTTTACATTTCACTTACATTTGAATTAGTGGTTTAACATTTTATTTATACCCCAAATGTCAATTTTTTGTGAAGTCATAGTACTTTTGAAGTGTTAAATGACTATGTTAACCTTTGACCAATTGTTGACTATTTTTGTGACCAAACTACTCCCAACACATACCTTTTCTCTTCTTCCTCCTCCTCAAGCCATCATCCAATTCACCCATAAGCTCCACCCATCAATCACATCCATATATATATATGTGTGTGTGTGTGTGTGTATCTAATACATATACACAAATATCACATAAAAGAGCAAAGCATCGAATCTTCAAACTTAAGCCCTAATTTATCATTCACAGATTAAACACACAATCTTCAGTACATTAAATGGACCATCAAGTAATCAAAATCAACAAATCCATATCTGAAATTGAGCTCGATGATTTGAAATTTGAAGCTTAACTATCAGAAAACTATCACTGTGGAGGGAAAAATCCCTCTCCAGTAAGAATTGTCCACGTCACCACAATACAAATTACACTTTGATCTTTTGATGGGATGCAGGAGCCCAACCCTGAACAAGCCCAAGTCAAGTCACTATCAGCCTAAGGTTAACAGTGTTGAACTCTTAGCCCGTTAACAAGCACTTTCCGGCCCAAGATGTATTTTACCTGATTTCAATACAGATTGGCCAAGTCCTACTCAACAAAGGGTCCTTCATAAAAGCAAGTTCTGCAAGAAAAAGTCTGGCATGGAAAGAATTGTAAAAGGAAATAACTTCGTAGTAAAATAATCATATATGGAATGAATTGAGGGACAAGCAGAGCGAGTTCTACCATAATTCAACCATCTTTTTATATATAAATAGATGCTTAGTCCTCTAATAAAGATCATCGAGCAATACACATCTTTCTCTAAATAATTCTTGCAAGTCGTTTATGTTACTACGATCAGGAATGTCAATCAGATGGTCCACAGCAGCAGTTGATCAACAGATGGAATTAATGCAAAAGATGTAAGAAGAGTTCTTGCAATAATTCGAGACGCTTCGTCAAGCAAACGAGGCCAGCACGGCTCAGATTACGTTGCTTCAGAAAAGGAACGATGCCCTCCAAGCAGCTATGGCCCAAATAGCACCGCAACCACCACCAGGTGATGCGGCAGCACCTCCCCCTGACCATAACGTTCCTTTTGTTAACGAACCTCAAGCCAATGAGGTTCGGCCTAACGAGGTTCAGCCTAATGAAGTTCAACAAGACCATAGGACGAGAACCGAGCTGGTCGCTTCGGGTAATCATCCTCATCGCACACAGAATGAATAGGCCGAATCCAGCCGTAAGAGCACGGTGTGGTCTAATGGCATTCCAGATGGCACTGGCGCCCAGGAGGCCTTTAATGAGAAGAAGCTCCTGAGGATTCAAACGCCTGCCGAGATACCAGAGAGCATAAGAATTCTATAGTAAAGACTTCGTTCACCGATCATATATACTATGTTGACAGACCTAAGAAATTTACCATGTTTTCTTTTACTCAGTTTGATGGCACAGGAGATCCTTCCTATCATCTCGATCACTACTCGCAAAAGATGGCTCTAGATAATCACAACGATACATTCATGTGTAAAGTCTTCCCAACTAGTCTAACAGGAGCCACATTGGAATGGTTCAAGAATAGGCCACACAAGTCCATTCCGAACTACAAAACTTTGTGCGATATGTTCCTAGCACAATATTGTGGAAACAAAAAGCAGAAGAAGACCATTGCTAGTCTCTTCACTATAAGACAGAAGAGAGGAGAATTGTTACAGGATTTCCTATCCAGGTTTAACATGGAAGCCTCGAAGATAGCAGAGTGTCATCCTAAGACTGCTATAGAGACATTTAAGATCGGTATGATCCAGGGAACCAAGTTCCATACCTCCCTAGTCAAATATTCCTCTCCGGACATGCAAACTCTCAATGCTAGGGCACAAATTTACATTCGACTAGAGAAGGATGTAGCCCATCGAGCACAGCATGCCACCCTTGTCGCGGTGGAAAATAAGCCTTGGGAAAAGACTTCAAGTTCAAAAAGTCAACGAAGTCAATATGCCTCAGCACCAGTCGCCCAGATACCTGAGAAGAGACAGAGGACCGAAGAAAGGTTTACACCTCTTCGAACCACACTGACTCGGTTATTCCAAGAGAACAAAACAAGATTTACAGCCCCTCAACCAATGAGGTAGCCCTTCGAACAAAGGGACTGTAATACCCCTAATTTTAAAAAAGGATATTCCTGGTATTTATTTATTATTAATTTTCGTTTTGGTTGTTTTATTTGGTTATATTTGCAAGCATTAATTGTTGACGTGTATATGTGTTAATTTTATTGCTTTAACTGTGGTTAGTCATTTAATTGTTTTCATTGTGGTGATTTAATTGAATTTAATTATTTAATTGATTTAATTATAGTTAATTATTTAAGTGGTTTAATTTAGTTGTTTTAATTGAATTAAGTTAATTAACTTTTATTGGTTTTAACGTGACTGTATGGTGGCACACATATAGTTATATTAGGGTTACAGTTTGTAGCCGACATATATTTTAAATATAGGTTGTTATATGGGCCGACTATGGTTAAGATTAGGGCTCTGTCTCTAATCATACTGGGAATAGGGTTATATTCACGCTCTATATATATAAAACAGTATGTTAGTTTAGGGTTTGGAAAAGCAGACGTGAATTGAGTTCTGTAAAGACAGAGCATTGTAAGGTCTATCAAGGGAAGAATAGAGAGGACCAAGGAGGTGTGGTGGTGGACTAACTAGAACCAAAGGAGGCTTGACAGTGGTTCGTGTTGCCGGAACAAGCAAAGTCTGAACAGGCAAGTTCTTTTCTTCCTCCTTCCTTTTGCCTGTGTTCTGTGCACCTAGATAGCCTCTAGGAGATTAATTAGACAATAATTGAACCATGCATGATTGTTGTACGGTATAATTGATTATCTGTATTCGGTGATTTTGATCTGAAATTATTGTCATATATGGTTTTGTATGTCTCTGTTTTTGCATAAAAACGTTCCTTTATTTTAAATCTTTTGTTGAATCTTTTGAAATAAATCAAGGACTTAATCATCACTAGATGTAAATTAGGACCTGTAAGTTCAAAGTAGAGAAAGAACAGTAAGGTTCGAATGGCCGAAAACAATGCAGGAACTGTGGATTTTGAACAGTTCTGGGAGTAAACTGAGGTGTTTAACAATGCCATATGGGTGTTGTTAAGAGTCTCAGTGCATGATTTATACAGTTATGGGAGAAGGATGAATAGTATGAAAGTAAATGCCTTTGCATGCTATTACTGGATAAAACAGATTCGAATTGCATAATTTTAAATTAGTTAATTGCATAATTCTAAATTAGTGATTTAATGGATTATAACATAAGATTAAATCATATTTTAGAGACACTGTAGGGTCTTCAGTTAACTGGCTGATCCTATGCAGAACTTGGATTTTGGTTACTTGTCTGCTCTTTATATTTCTGGGGTTTATCTAAGTTGAACTGGATTATACTTTGAGTTGTAATTTCTGTAATAACATACACTGTTTCTACAAGTCATTAGATAATGGATTTGGGATTTAAATATTGAAAGCTTATATATTATACTGCTTTTCACTGGAGGATGGTTTTAAACTGTAGTTGCTGAAATATTAAATATCTTCCTGCACTTATTTGGATTATGGTTTGAATTGTAGATTACTAAACTGATATATATGTGTTGTAATTTACATTGACATGGAGGATTGTATGCACCAGTATGGGACGGTGACATACTAAGGATGGTTTAGCTTAAAAATGCTAACCTAACCTACCGGATGGAAAGTGTGGATTGTAAAATATTGAATCCATCAATGTGTTTAAGTCGAATCAACTGACTAAGTTGAGGGACTTCCCGGATTAATTGGTTATAGTTAAGCCACATCAGTTGAGTAAGTTGAGTGCTTATCTGGACGGTGTTTTGTATGTCTCCTTAATGAATAACTGGATGACATACTATGGTTTCAGACGGACTTTAGATATATGATTATGGTACCACGATATGAGCTTGAGTCTCAGAGTCGTTGGTTAGGGTGCGTATCTGTAGTGGATACGTAGCTGGATATAGTAGGTAGGTGTATCATCTTAAGTCTAAGTACTCATGCCCACCTTCAGGTGCGTTTTCGCATGTTGCCTTCTATTCAGGTTGAGACCCCTGCTGTAGTCCAGTGAATATCCTTAGTGTGGATATATATGTATACTTGTGGACTAAATAGATATGTTGAGGGTATTTAGGGTGTATCTGCGTATCGGGTCACTGTACGGATTGCAGTTAGATTAGGACTTACATGTGGGCCTGACCCACTTTCTTATTTTTCAGGTGCTCGTCAGTTCCAGGGTTAGAGCTTGGTCATGCAGTGAAAATACGGACTTCCATTCCATCGACTACATAGGACTCTCTCTCCATAGCTTGTTGCTGGATGTTTCTTTCAGTTGTTTTTAATTCATTTTGGATTATTATTAGGGGTCCACCAGAGATGGATTCCCGAGTTGTTTAATCTTTTAGAGGTTTTGGATTATTGGAATTTAAGTTTTTCTTTAAAGGATTTTATTTTAGTTTCTTTCAGTTTTTAATATTTATTCTTATTTCATTTTGTCATCTGTGTTCGTTTTAAAATATTAATTGTTTGATATTCCCTCGGATTTGGGCCTAGGCCTGATCAACCCGTGTCTCGGATCCGAGGGGTATCACAGGGACAAAAGTAAACACTGTGCCTACTATAGGGATTATGGCCATACAACCAACGATTGCAGATCCCTTAGGCGGCAGGTGGAAAACATGATAATTAGAGGAGATCTAGTAGATTACCTCGCACTAAAAGAACAGGCAAGGCCGAGGGAGGTCAATCCTCGAAAAGTAGAAGGAAATCAAGTGAAGGTCATCTATGTAATACATGGGAGGTCGGAAGAAGACCAAGAGTCAAAAGAGGTATACCATTCCAGGTTGAGGGCAGCCCACAAGTTAAGGAAGTTATCCTCAATAAACACTATTGCTTCAGGCAGTATTAATATTAGGTTCGACGATAGAGATTTGTCCAGAATTCAGCTTCCTCATGAAGATCCACTTGTTATCAATCTTTTGGTAGTAAATTGCATGATCAAAAGAGTCTTAGTAGACCCAGGTAGCAATGCCAATAATATAACAAAGGCAGTCTTTGAACAGTTAGAGATCCTGCCATCATCAATTCGGCCCACCTCCAGTCCTTTGATGGGGTTCGATGGGACAAATGTGGACCCTATTAGGGTAATCGATTTATCAGTCACTGCGGTGAAGAGGACACTGAAGGAAAACTTTTTTTTGACAAAAATTCATCCTTCCTACAATCTCATCATGGGAGAGGTTGGATCCACCGAATGAATGAAGTCCCATCTACCATTCATCAGGTAATGCGATGCTTATCTCCAGACGGAAAAGAAGTCATTAATCTTTGGGGAGTGACCGGGTCCTTTACAAGGGTCGCGATACCAAGTCAAGCTTGAAGAGTTGTGTGTGTTTAGGAGGTGGCCAATTTTTACATTTATAAAAAGCCACTACTACCTTTCTCTATATAAAATATAGATAGGGCGAGTAGGGATCGTCCCAAGGGATTTGATGGTGTATCGAATTGTGAATTATGGTAATTAGGGTTAGTAGGTCAAGCGATCACACAATTGGTTGGTTGGTTGATTAAGCTAAATTGAATTCAACTAAATAAAATAATATGAGGTAAACAAGAGAGAGAGGTCTTGGGGTGTAGAGATCACCACCAAGCAATACTTTTCTATACTACTAACAAGTGATCAATTGAGGGTAATGGGTGTGTTGCAATATGATAAGGGTGTGTGTGCATTAGGTTGATTCAATAGGCAAGGATGACAAATCAAGTAAGTATTGTCTAAACATGATGTGAAGAGCACAATATATCTAAGCAATAGAGCATATATTGTCTAGACAACATGGGGATAGCACAATAGATCAAAACAAGTCATTAATCCTTCATTAAGCTCACAATCCACATGCAACACAATATTAGAGGAATATGCCATTTGGACTCACAAGCATGGAACATCAAACATCAAGAGTAGATTGTCCTCCCATCTAACATTATACTACCACTACACTAAATCTACACTACTAGCATGAAAATAAAGCTATCTAGACTAGGGGAGAGGCACAAACCATCAAGAATAGGCATAAACCATCAAATGAACCAAAATAGCATTCATTAAGCATATCATCTTGATAATCTCTAGATCTGTAGCATCAATACACATAGACATGCATCAAAAACACTAAATCTAGAGATAAACACATGAATATCCTACTCTAGCATACATAGACATATGGGTAGAATAGAATAGTCAGTTGGAAGCATTAAACCATACAAACCATGAAATAATCAAGATTTATATATACATGAATATCAAGATGTATCATACAACACTAATCCCTCAATAATACACAAGATTAGAGTATAGAAAGCATGCTTGGGGCTAACTCTAGCCCCAAGAAGATGTCTAGCCACTCATGGTAGTGATGATCCAACCCTCAAGGGCTAACTCCATGGCTGCTCCTTGTAGATGAAGATCTCCTCCAATGGTTGCTCTAGCTTCCTCCCTTCTTCCTCTCCAAGAATAGCCTCCAAGATGATTTTCAATGTGTGACAAGAGACTCTAGACTCCTCACCAAAAAGTGTATCATATTCCTTATATAGGTAGGTCAAATACACCCTATGATGAGCTGTGGTCGTGCAAGGCATATTCTCCAATGATTGGGTGAAGGACGGAATAAATGAGCTGGACTTTAACTTTTTCTCGCTGGAGGAAGTTCGATCGATCGAACCTTAACTTGGATCGATCGAAGATGGGTTCGATCGATCGAACTGCATCTTGGATCGATCGAAGTGGTCTGACTCCTCCGGATAAGAACAAGGCTGAGATATTTCGAAGATATTTATAGGGAAAAGGACAAAAGTGGTTGGTAGGCGTACAGCTGTGGATAAGATCAATCATGTGAATAGGACAAAATAGGGTTCGATCGATCGAAGGTGATGTTGGATCGATCGAACTTGGAATTTCAGCAAAGGCCAAGGTTGGATCTATCGAGAAGTACTGTGATCGATCATAGATGTTCGATCAATCGAACTCTAAGTTAGATCGATCGAACTTTTCAG